GCAATGAATCATAGTGAAACACAACCGAACGAAGCCTATACCGGCTTGGTTGTCGCCCGGGTTAACAAGGACCACATCGGGTGTTGGGGAACCTGGGCATCCGTCGACAAGTGGGCTACAGGCCACAGGTACCATAGCTGAACAACCAGGGCACAGGCCTGCAGAGCTACTGGAAGCTGAACAACCTCAGAAGCGGCAGAAATAACCATGTCAGAGAACCGCACAGTAATGAAATGCTACTACAAAGCAGAACCAGAAAAACGAGGCTATCAAAAAAGGATGTACAAATTATGGAAACAAGAATACCCAGACTCAAGGATAACTGAATTACGATTAGCTGATCAGTGACGATTCATCACTCGGAACAAAGTGCTCAGTGAAGTCGAACTTGAAGAAATACGGAAAAATTGTGAAATGGGAACACAGTGGCAGCAGAAAATACTCCAATAACATCTGGAGCAACTGAGACTCTGTCATAAACCAGTGCAGTGGTACTCGGCACACTGGGTGCTGTGCCTAAAGACCTAGGCAAACACTTAAAAACAATTGGCGCTGACAAGATCACCATTGGTCAGCTGCAGAACGCCACCTTACTGGGATCTGCTCGCATAATCCACTGATACATCACACAGTCCTAAAAGCTTGGGAAGTGTTTGACTAGTGATCTGTGATATGAAATCCAGCATGGTTATCTCGTTTGCTGTCTATAGTGTCATTTTTGTGTAAATAATAATAATAATAATAATAATAATAATAATAATGATGATGATGATGATGATGATGATGATGATGATGATGATGCAGTAAAATCAGAAGAAGGCTACAAGTACTTGGGGATTTTAGAAGCCTCTGATTTAATGCATAATAAAGTCAAGGAATTAACTTCAGCCAAGTACATTCGGCGAATTCGTAAGATATTAATGTCCAAATTGAGTGGATGAAACATCATAAAAGCCATAAATACCTGGGCTATACCTGTGATTAGATACTCTGCAGGAATAATTGACTGGACCCAGATGGAGTTAGACAATTTGGACAGAAAAACAAGGAAGCTTATGACATGAATCATGCCTTGCACCCTAAAAGTGATATTGACCGATTATATTTACCAAGAGCAGAGGGTGGTCGAGGACTCCTACAAGTAAAGCAGACTGTGGAAGAAGAAAAGTGCAGCTTGAATGATTACATCCAGAAAAGTGAAGAACCAATGATTAAGGAAGTAAATAAAGGAGGCCTTTTAAAGACAACTAAAACAAAAGCAGAATATAAGAAAGAAGTAATTGAGCAGCGAGCTGAAAATTGGAAACACAAAGCTCTGCATGGCCAATACTTGAAAAATATTGAAGGCAAAGCTGACCAGAAACTAACTTGGAACTGGTTAAGATCAGGAGTACTGAAAAAAGAAACAGAAAGCTTTATTTTGACAGCTCAGGAACAAGCCCTAGCCACAAACTGCATGAAGGCAAAAATTCAACATGTTACCACCAACAGCAAATGCCTCCTATGCAATGAGAAAGATGAGACAGTCGACCACCTGATCAGTGGGTGCAGCAAAATTTCACAAACTGACTACCTACAACGCCATGACCGTGTTGCTAAGATCATTCACTGGAAATTGTGCCAGAAGTTTGGATTTGAGTACAGCAAAAACCACTGGGAACATCAGATTGAGAAAGTTTTAGAGAATGAGAAACTCAAGATCTTGTGGGACTTTAGGATTCAGACAGACAGGCACTTGGTCCACAACACACCTGACATAACAATAGTTGAAAAGAAAAAAGTATGGTTCATTGACATTGCAATACCTGGTGATGCACGAATTGAAGATAAGCAGCAAGAAAAAATCACAAAGTACTGGGACTTACAAATTGAAGTTGAGCAACTGTGGAAAAAGAAATTGTGTGTTGTCCCGATTGTAATTGGAGCCCTTGGAGCAATACCCAAAGGGCTACCCCGCTATTTAGAAATTCTAAAATTGCCAGACTTGAACATTTTGACTCTACAAAAAACCACCTTACTCGGAACAGCTTACATCCTCCGACGATACCTTAACAGTTCCTAGGTCCTTGGTTAGGACTCGAACTGCTGAGCTATTAACCAGCCTCAAAGGCTGTGAATCTCACTAAAGATTAACTAATAATAATAATAATAATAATAATAATAATAATAATAATAACAACAACAACAACAACAACAACAACAACAACAACAACAATAACAACAGATCTGTGAACATCTAGAAAGAAATAAAGTTTTGACTAGTAGCCAGGATGGGTTTGTTAAAAACAGATCATGCCAAATCAAATTTATTTCATTCAAAGGGATAAAATTAGTAGACCAGCGAAATGCTGTGGACAGAGTGTACTTAGACTTCAGCAAGGCATTTGACAAAGTAGACACAACCTACTTGTTGGTAAACTAGAAAAATGTGGGATAGATGGCAACACCACCAGATGGATTTGTAATTGGCTGACAAACCTTATTCAATGAGTAGTCCTTAATGGTACCACATCTATATGGAAGGAAGTAAGCAGTGGGGTACCACTGGTTCTGTCTTAGGTACTTAGGTACTCTTCAATATCTTCATAAATGATTTAGATGAGGGAATAGAAGGGGAACTGAAATTTGCAGATGACACTAAAATGGCAGGAATAGCCAACAGCCAACAAACTCAGGATCCAAAAGGATCTTGACAGACTTCAACAATGGGCCTATCCCACCACATTAAATTTAATGTGTAGTTTTTACACCTAGGCAGGCAAAACCAAAGGTATAAGTTCAGATTAGGCAAAACCTGGCTCAAAACCAGTAAGTGTGAGGGGAACCTTGGAGCCCAAGTGGACAATTACTTAACATGAGCCAGCAGTGTGCAGCAGCAGCCGAAAAAGGCGAGATCTAGGTGAGATCATCCGTGGTTTCGGGGTGACTGTTCATCAGTATGCTGATGACACACAGCTATACATCTCCACCCCAGACCACCCCAATGATGCCCTTGCTGTGATGTCCCGTTGCCTGGAGGCCGTGCGGATCTGGATGGGGAGAAACAAGCTCAGACTCAACCCCTCCAAGACCGAGTGGCTGTGGCTTCCAGCGTCCCGGTATAGTCAGCTGGTACCATCACTGACAATAGGGGATGAGATCTTGCTCCCCACAGAGAGGGCCCGCAACTTGGGTGTCCTCCTGGATTCACGGCTATCTTTAGAAGATCATTTGACGGCCGTGGCCAGGGGTGCCTTTTATCAGGTTCGCCTGATCCGCCAGTTGCGTCCCTTTCTGGATCGGGACGCCTTGCGCACAGTCACTCATGCCCTAGTTACCTCCCGTATGGACTACTGTAATGCTCTCTACATGGGGCTCCCCTTGAAAAGCACCCGGAGGCTCCAACTGGTCCAGAACGTAGCCGCGTGGGTGATTATGGGCGCAGGTCATTACGCCCATGTAACACCTCTCCTACGCGAGCTGCACTGGCTCCCGGTGGTCTTCCAGGTGCGATTCAAGGTGTTATTTATCACCTTTAAAGCGCTCCATGGCTTAGGACCTGGGTACCTACGAGACCGTCTTTTGCCACCAATAGCCTCCCACCGACCAGTTCGTTCTCACAGGGAGGGACTACTCAGGGTACCGTCAGTCAAATTATGCCGACTGACGACTCCCAGGGGGAGGGCCTTCTCTTTGAGGGCTCCAACCCTTTGGAATGAACTGCCCCCGGAGATACGGAATATCCCTGATCTCCGTGCTTTTCGCCGTGCCCTCAAGACCCTGATGTTCCAACAGGCGGGGCTAAACATATGAACATGTGAATGATTTTTTAAATGTGATCTAATTCTGGGTTTTATTTAATTGACCAAACTAAGTAATAATTTTAATTAGCAATTTTATGATGTTTGTGTGTCTTTATTTTTCTTGACTGTACACCGCCTTGAGTCCTACGGGAGAAAGGCGGTATAGAAATATAATTAATAAATAAATAAATAAATAAATAAATAAATAAATAAATAAATAAATAAATAAGCTAATACAATCCTTGCTTGTATAAACAGAGGCATAAAATCAAAATCACGTGAAGTATTAGTACTAGGATTATAACTCCTTAGTAAGACCACACCTGGAACACTGAATCCAGTTTGGTTACCACATTACAAAAAAGATGTAGAGACTTTGGAAAAAGTTCAAAGAACAACTAAGATGATTAAGGGCCTGGCAACAAAAACACTTGAAGAACAGTTGCAAGAATTGGGTATGGCCAGTCTAAAGAAAAGATATGAAAGCAATATTTCAGGATTTGAGAAGATTCCACAAAGAAGAGGGGTCAAATTATTCTTCAAAGCACCAGAAGGCAAGAGAAGAAACAATGGGTGGAAACTAATCAAGGAGAGAAGCAACCTGGAATTAAGGAGAAACTTCCTAACAGTGAAGATGATTACCTAGTGGAACAGCTTGCCTTCAGAAGTTGTAGATGTTAGATAGCCACCTGTCTGACATCGTATAGGATCTAAGGTCCCTTACAGCTTTATTAAGATTGATTGGTCTCAGAGAAATTGCATTGGCACAAAAACAGTTTTCAGCTTCCCATATAAGCAGCAACCAACGTGAAATTTAAACTAATTTATATTCAATTTGGTATACCATGAGAACACAGCTTAAAGCATATGCTTGTGTCTCCATATTAGAAGTATTGTTTGAATTAGAAACTGATTATACAGTTTTTGGTACTCTTAATTTTTCGTTGTTGTTGGCCTGCAGATGTTTCATTACTCAAAAAGGCAGAATTATCCTTTGTGTATAATGTAATCTAAGCTCAGAGAGTACCAGAGACTTTATAGTTCAACCCTGAACTACAGCTATTTTTTCTATTACAAATTAATCTCTGAAGCTGAACTGTATTTTGACAGGAAGTGATAATATTACTTGCACTTTAACCAGAAAAATCTCCTCCAAGGTTACTAAAAATTGTTTAAAAAATGCTGTTCTCCAAGAAAATAATTTGAAAGATATTTTACCTCCAAACAGATATTTTTCTCCTGTCAAAACTTTCAGAGGACTGTTACTCCGAACAGAAGAAGATTCATCACCATCAATGGTGAGAACTGCAAAATTTTCTTTGGCTAAGAATCGAACTTCATGCCATTGTCCATCACAGAATCCTGCACCTAGAAACACAAAGGAGTGGAGGGGGGGGGGAGAAAAGAAAGTGATTTATTATTTTTGGGCTATAATATATTAATTTTACTATATTAGATGATGTGGTACAGGTTTTACAGCATATTCAGAACTACTGAATCACATGTAATTATACACATAATGTATTCATTTATTATGGAAAATTAAATCTGTGCAATATATACTAATATATATTATATACTATATAATAATTCAAAATTCATTTCTTTCTCTGAATCTCCAAATGGATGATCAACCTAAATCAGAGTGATTTCTCCTCCCTCCTTCCTTCTGTTCCCTTCCCTTCCCCTCCCCTCCCCTCCTATTGGATTATAAAATATTATATAAACTTCCCGCATTGTAACCTCACAGCAGTCACTGCTGTTATGAAAATGTCAAATCTGCAAGTATTTCTCATTATTAATTGTAGTTACATGTAGACACAGACTTCTAATAAAATCGATGAAGCTAAGGAACATGTATCAGACATAAATTTACACTCAAAAGACTTCCCATTCTATTTTATTTTATTGTATAATTGCATATTTCCTAGGTTTATTATCTGCATGCATTAGGTTATAAAATTTTTAACTTGCTTATTTAAACCACATGCAACCATAACCCTCTTGTGACTCATAAGAACTCTACTTTCATGTGCAAATTAGATATGCTAATGAAACATATTCTTGCTAGAATTTCTTTTAAATGACATTACTTTAAAATTTGAACTCTTGAGATTGTCACTTTGATTGAACAAGAAGAAACAGATGTTTCTCTTATAAGAAACATGGAGGAAAAATGGTTTAATGAAGGGTTGTTGTTTTTTTTTTTTTGCAAGATCTTAGTGTCTAGTGAGAAATAACAAAAGATGCCATTTGCAAATTATTTTTTGAACAATATTCCAGCAACTAATTTTCATATGTCTCTATAGCTGATCTTGCGAGATCAATCAGAATGGAGCAATCTGTAAACTGCAATAAATGGATGTTGGCACTAAATGACTCTTGTCAATACTTTTTAATGTCAATACACTTATTGACAGAATAGAGCAGTAAAGGAATGTTTTCCTCCTTATTAATCTCCTCCTTATTAATCTGCTAGGAAGTCAGAAATGCATACAAGCAATCTGAATTCAATATATTCTTGAAGAACTTGTTGATTAATCTGAAGAGAATTTTTATAGGGGATAGTGGCCCAGTCCATGAGGTTTTGCCTAGTATCAGGCAATTGCTTCTTTTAGATCCAAAGACAATAAGAACACCAGTAAATAAAGGATTTCAAGCTTTATTATTAGCTCAAGCAAGCAGATTGAATAGCATAATATAAAAAGCATACATGCTATATAAGATGACACCTAACCTCTTATAAGCTTCCCAGACCTCCTTAATAACAACAGCAGAAATATTCCATAGGTGGCCAGTTTCCACAATACCTAATGCTAGATTCCGTGTAGAAACTCTCCCCTCCCAACAATACAACCCCAATATTTTTTATTAAAACCTGGCATCATGACTTCATGGCTCTGCAATGGTCAGGAGACTGCAAGACCTGTCCTTTACCAGCGGGCACATTCCAGGATAGAAATTGAAGCCCTGAGACTTTCACATGTTTGATGCTACTTGAAGATTACCCCCCTCCCCAATTTCTCCTTTGTTCAGCAAGAAAGACCGGAAAACAAGCAGTCTATTTCAGAATGATCTCTAAACTTCTAGATCTCTCTTAATATGAAGAAGAAATGAAAACATATGACCAACACCTTGCAATAACAATGATCTTCCCACATTGCTACATCAAATGATCACACACCTGTCTTGGACTCCTATATCTCATGCTTATAGCTGACTTGCTGCATTAATTTAATCATGTTTTAAATTATTTTAATTTTCATACTGTATGTATTTTAATTTTGGATGTTCACCACCCTGAGTCCTTCGGGAGAAGGGCGGTATAAAAATTTAATAAATAATAATAAATAATAATATCATCAATCTGGCTATCTCTGTTTGTGGTGCAAACCCGCACACATGTTTTCTAATGGCATTCAAGATGCCACAGTGCAGTACTCTCAGAAATAAAGAAATAGAATAAGCTTTTTTTAAAAAAAATGTGGCATTTATAAAAGATAATTTAAATATGTTTAAACTAAACCAATTGAATTGGCAAAATACTAACAAAAAACCCTTTCGTATAGCTATGCTTTATGCATGCAGTGATGTTTTAGATGTGCACATAATCTAGACATAGGTCTGGACATTTTTTATATATATATAAAAGAGCACTAAAATATATATATATATATGAAAGAGCACTAAAAAAACCTGAATCCAGGATATCAGTACTCTGAATTATAGAAGTACAGGGCTTCCTAAGTTTCTTCCACATAGAGTACATATACTGTGATCTGATATAGCTTGGTGCATCAACAAACTCTGCAAAACTATTCTAGAAAACACATCCAGTTCATTTCCCTTTGTAACAGTTGAGCAGCGATGCACATACTTCAATTTGATAAATATATAAAATTCAAGAAGAAGTGCAAGACAATTAGATAATTGTTATGCTGTATAGTAGAATTATCAATATTTTTGGTGATTGCTATCTTTGCATGGATAGTGAATACTAACAACAGGAAATATTTTATTCGCTTTGCTAAAAATTCAGATTCTTTTAAGAATCCTCAGTGATGATGTATATTTTGTGGAGTGAAGACGAATGATTATTTTCAAAGGGAAGAGTTGTCATCAACTATGATAAAATTGAAGTTTTAATTTTTGTCAGCAAAAGACAAAGGAACAAGTGAATAATTGATTTCCATAAATTAGAACAAAACAAATATTTAAAAAATATGGACATAGCAATTTTTGCTTTTAGGGAATTAACAACTCAGTAAATTATACCAGTTTTATTGCCCCAAAGAGTACAAACTACATTTTTTTAGGTAATGGGGAAAATTATATTCCAACAGCAAATTGTTTATGACTAAAACAGTTGTCCAACTACTATATGGGATACAATGTGGCCCATATGCAAACCTATGGGTTTATGAAATTATTCAATAAAATTTGCTTAGTACTTTGTTTGATACTCCACAATGCATCCCTAATGTTATTTTGAGGCTTAAAGTGAATGTGCAAGGCATTAAAACCCAGGGCTAGACCCACAAACTCAGTTCTCAAAATCATATTTAACCCCAGAGATCTAGTACCATAGCTGCATAGAAAAATTTTGCAGTCTTGGATTTTCCCCCCTCAATATTTAGTCCAATTAACCCTTCAGAAGGCCAGATCAACAGCAAAATGAAGAATAATGGACATTGGTTGCCAAAACAATATCACCACTGGTGCTGAATTCTACTGCCAAATGTTAGTCTCAGGTACCTATATTGTCTAACTATCAGGTCCCATAGATCCCTATTGGGACGCTGCCATTCTGGTAGGGAGGGGGCCTGGGTGCATTCTTTAGTTTATAGCATTTTTCCTGGTGCCTATCTATCCTGTACTTTGATTTATCTTCTTGGGAATGTAAGGGGTGGGGGCATCTGTTTGTCTCAGCTCTGGACCCTCCAGCAAGAGACGCTTAGGAACAGCTTCTTATCACTTTCTCAGCCTGCAATTCCCAAAACAGCTTCGCACCTGTAGATTGGCTTATTCAACACTGGACTGAGTTTCTAACTGCTTTAACCTAGCAGAATTGCATGGGAATCCTCAGATTCTGCTTCTTTTGCCTTGCTATCTCTTTCCTTCAATAAAAGGTTCCTTTTGAAATGCTAATTGTTTCAAGAGTTCTACTTTCTTGAATGGAGAGGAGAGGCAGGCCCCTCCATTAACCTTATGCAAATGTGAACTTTTTCCAGAGCTGACTTTAAGGCCTCCCTTACCATGGTGGGAAGCTTCCATAAGACTGCTTAGATATTGTAATGGAATGTGGAACTAGAGAAGCAGTGGAATATTGGCAGTACAGAGCATTTGTTTGTTTGTTTATTATAGATGATTTCTGCCAATTTCCTCTATAAAAACAACCCTGTGAGGTAAATTAGGCTGAGACAGAGTTACTGGCTCAAGATCCCCCAGCTGGCTTTCATAGCTAAGGCTGGACTAGAACTCATGGTCTCCTGGTTTGAGAGGAGGCAGCACATCCCAGGAAGAAGCACAAATTTACAGACTGCACAATCCTAATCTGGATGAGGGAGGGGCAAGAAGTCCATGGTAGCCATACCCTAGCATCTCTTAGATTCGAGTAGATAGTTATACCTTTAGTTTGGCAAGAATCTGTCCATTAAGTATTAAGAACTGGACTGAACTCTGCTGTTTCATCTTTGGGACTGAGCCTGATATTTACACACTTTCACATATAATGTCCCTTTTATGATAGGCCAAGATGTGCTCTGATCTCAAAAATGATCTGTAAGGTTGCACTGATAAATGTTATGTTTGCTATCTTTTAAGGAATGCTAATTCTACACTCACATGCTAGGTGGCTAAATATCTTTATCAAGTAACACAAATGAGAGTGGAAAGTATTTGCCCAGAAGGGCATAGAATCTCCTATTTGAGCTGGGGGTTTGACTAAAAGACTTCCAAGGACTCTTCCAACTCTTGTTATTCTGTATTCTGTAATTGGCAAAACATTTAATTAGATATGTGGACTTATTATTGTATTGCTTTATTTTTACCTGATAATGAATTGCTATACCAAACTATTTCTCTTTTCCTGCTGTAAAGGCTGGTCAAAGACAAACATAAAAAATATAAATATATTATTAATTAGCATCTATCAACACTGGGTACATTATTTAATAACAACATTCTCTCTAAACCAGGGAAGCAGATATATAATGTTTTTTTTCAGCCAGCAGCAGTTGGGCTGCTGGTCAAGAGTAACAATATTTGGAAGAAATCTATAAGAAACTTTACATTTAGAATATCTCAGATTATGCAAAACAGAAGTTCTATATTTTTATTTTGCTAAAAATATGATTGTATATGAAACA